AGGAATCGGGACCGTGCCCTGCATCTTGACGACTTCTTCGCATTCACCACATTAACTACCCTTCGTGGAAATTGCCTCAAACTCCGAGGAACCTTATCCCATCTGGATGTCCGCAGCCATTCATTTTCACAGCGAGTCAGCGGCGCCTGGAACGGATTGCCCGAAGAGGTCATAATGAGGAATTCGACAGACGCATTCAAACGCAAACTTGATGATAATTAACTTAACAGATACCTTTCATATGTACGGGAAAGCGCTGTCAGCACACATCAACGCTTTGGTCACACATACAGACGATAAAGGTGCACATGTGTGTATGTTACTCACTATTTCATAGTAGCACATTTTATGTAGAATATTTTACGAGGTCTTCAAATGCATTGCCTACTACCTTAAATTTACTGAAATATACTCCCGTGTACAAATGATTTTGCATTGCGATAAGATTTTTCGTCTCTGGACAAGGACAACTAAATATCCTCTCCTTTTTCTGCAGTCGGTCCCGACGGACAGGTTGAAACTCATCGAGTATTATAGCAGACAATAATTAGGTCTTTGTATTGGAAATAATATTAGATTGTGCGGCTGATAGCCATGAACAACGGCCATGGCTGGGTTGTGCATGGTAAGTCGTTGCTTCGAGTGCTGGTCAGGGTCCAAGTCAAGTAACACGAAACAAACACTTTCGAGATTTAGGTAATTTAGTCAACTTTTCCGATAAATTGCACCCTGACAGAAGTTCTGTGTTCCCTTGAGATTTTGTAAAGAACTAGGTCACGCGAAAAAAGTTTCCAGTTTACTTAGAAGCAGCTAGCAGCAACTACAGCGAAACATCCTTTTACAGTTTATTTGTTCAAGGTAATAGACTGCGCCTTTCAAAACCGTACTGTTTGCCTACACTATTTGTACACTCACAGGCTTCAAAATAGTCATATAAAAATAGTATTAACAAACTGGGAGTAGCATTATTTTTACAAATAACTCTTGTTTGGATATTGTGTGATAGTAGTTTGAGTTCACACTGCCGACGTACAGCAGGGGACACATATAATTATCTAAGCGTTCCATAAAGAGCTATGAGGACGTTGCCACCCGTGACTGATTATAGGAGGTTATTCCATTGTCCTTTTGCCCATTACGTGAAAAATTTACCTGGACAGAAGCAGAGGATGCTATCACTGGAACAAGAGTTTTTATTTTCCTGACGTTTCGGATTCCGTCGAGAAACCTTAATCATAGGTGGTGTTGGAATAGACATAGGCATGCGCAGATAGGGACAACATTGTCGTACGCCACTCGTTTACGTGTCCACGAAGATGCGCAACTGAAGCCAGTCCTCAAGGCGCGCTTCCTTCTCAAGGTCGTGTATTATCTTGTAAACTGAAAGAAAATCACCTCTTTACTGCCTGTAATATACGTTGATGCATGAAACAACAACAATGCAACAAAAATGATGCAGATGGTTGCACTCAAGCGCCCAAAACAAGTAAATGGCGAATCCCCCCTTATAAAAGGAGTGTGTCTGAACTTGTTGAAAGGCACTTGCGCACAAACCGATGGCTACTTTACGCACCCAGCTTATACACCCTAAGGAGAGGGTCGGCTACCTCAATAAGAAAGAAGTCATCTACAAAATCCCATGCGGAGTTTGTGATACTGTATAATGTGGCCAAACAGGAGGATCCGCCTCAGCACGCATCCACGAACACCAATTGGCCGTGAAGAGACGTGACCATTTGTCTAAAGTGGCTATGCATTGCCTCAACACGGGACATACCTTTGTATGGGATAAAACACGCATCGTCGGAGTTTGCCCATCTTAAATAGGGCCGAGAATTTATCGAGGCTATGCATTCCGACGACTCATGCATCAACCGGCACATGCAATTAGATGGTATTTATGAACGCTTTAAAGAACGCTGGAAAGGAGGAAGGCGGCACGATACAGACTGAGCGAGACTACACCTACCAATCAGGTCTCGCTCCATATAACTATTGATTATCCGCACGTTTGAAATGTTAGTTGTAAACTGCACATATTCTGTTTGGCTAACCTCGAAAATTCACTAATGAAAGTTACGTTATATCCCAAAAAACTTCTTCTTCTTCAAATTAAAATTTATTGGGATGCGTGTTTTAAAAATTATACGAATGAATTTAGGCACTCTAGTTTTTCATGAATGAAGGAGAACGTTCGCGTTCCAGGTCTTTGCATGGGTAAGTAAGAAGGATGGTCGTGCACCATATCACATTGTTTATTATCCTGAGCTTTCGAAATCTTACAGGAGTCCATCCTCAGAGATAAGAAACAGCAACAAAACGAGGGGCTAGTTATAATTTGTGTGTACACCAATCAACTGTCATCAGGTCGTGAGGGATAAGAAACCGCGATGAAAAGGTGGGGGGAGGGGGTGGGGGCAATCAACCGTCAGTGATTTCAACGTTCATCAGGGCATGGGCAACGAAAATGGCGCAATTATAGAGGATGTAGGCCCAATTAACTGCGACGGACGTGTGGCCGTGACTATAAGTAATCACGAAAGGCTCTGTACGCCGGCGTCAATTCGACACATCAATTGACTGAATTCCCGTCCGTGGACTAGGCTTCAATCAACTCCCTGCTCAACGTGGGAGAGTACCTTGACGGCCGCGAAGTTGAGCTCATGGCCTGTTTCATAGATGCGAGCTGCAAATTGTGATACTTCGTCGCCTCGTCGTGCGGCCAACTTTCGTTCGTGTATGCGCGATCCGAGAATGCGTTCAGCTTGGCCTATGTAGATACAAGAACAGCTTAGGCGTGGGATGCGATACACTACCCAAGATTGTTCATTCGGCATAAGTCGGTCTTTTGTTTTTATCACCCTGCTGCGCATGGTAGCTTTGGGTCTGTGTGCGATTCCAACACCTAGTTCCGCAGCGATGCGCTCATTGGCTTCTGAGGCGTTCTTGATGTATGGTAGAGCGTGCCATATCCTCGGTGGTTTTCCCGTTTGGGGATCCGGGGCCGAATGCGTAGGCATAGGTTTATAAATGCTTTTGGATAACCGTTCCGCATTAAGTGGTCGCGGAGATATCGGGTCTCGCGTACTTTTTCCCCCGGCCTACTGCAGTGAGTCTGAATCCGTTTGAATAGCCTTTTTACAGAACTCCGTTTGTGCTGGTTGCTATGGAAACTGAGAAGTTGTGTTGTGTTTGTTGTCTTCCGGTAAACCGTCGACTCGATTTCATCGTTGGGCGTTCTCTGGCCGAGGACATCCAGGAAAGGCAGCTGCTGCTCTTTTTCTTTTTCCTTCGTGAATTATTTGTCAGTCAAGATTCCACTAAGCAAATTATGGAAGTCTTGCAGCATGCTCTTCTTGATGATAACAAACGTGTCGTCAACGTAAGGACGCCAAAAGACAGGCTTGTGTTGGGTAACGGCGGTGTTTTCTAGCTCTTGTAGGACCAGTTCTGTCACTAAACCGGAGATTGGGGAGCCCATCGGAGTAGCTTTGATCTTTTCGTAGGTTTCTCCGGCAAAGGCAAATAATCTTTTTGGCAGAATTCGAATAACCTCATGCTATGTTCAACCTTGAGTGGGCTTCGGACCTAATCATACGCCTCTTCGAGTCTTTTGTGCAAGATTTCGTGCACCAGATTTGGTGGTATAGATATTAATAACGAAGTTACACCGAAAGAGAACATGATTTCGTCCGACCACGAAGATCTGTGAAGAATCGAGAGGCTGATTGAACTGAGGTAGTTGATTTGTGTACACACACTATACCTAGACCCTCTTTTGTTGCTGCTTCCTGTTCTCTGACGATGGACTCCTGTAAGAGTTCGAAAGCTCAGAAAAATAAACAATGTGGTCCGGTGCTTGATCATCCTTCTTCCTAACCCACTCTAGTTTTTCTGTGTCAAAGTGGTTTTATAGGCCTTTGTTGCACGATGCTGCAATTTATCGATACGTATTTTGTTTTTTTTGCGAGCCGTGGCCGTCATACCTGTACATCAATTCCTGGGTGAAGTCGAACGTAGGTGCGGTAGACTTTAATGAAGCGACGTTTTTCGAAGGCTCTTTTGATAGCGTGCAGTCCTCCGATGGCGTTGTATGCAACCTTGGCGCATTGCAACGATGGCTTCAAATTAGTGTTAAAACCCGCTGGAGTAGGCATAGCCCACCAAGCCCAGGCGAAAATACGCCGCAGTGTGATGCAGCCTCGATGCAGACTGCTCTTTACAGAAACCTCCGCAATTATCTACAAGATACATACATTGCAACGATGGGGACAGCAAATACGTTGAGCGAACGGGGGGAAAATTGCAGACCCGCCTACACGAACACCAACTGGCGGCTCGCGACTAGACCTAAACGCGCAGCTTGCAACACATATCAGAGAGACCGGCGACAAATTCGATATTCAGGGAGCAAACATGGTAGACCCACGAACCTCAAAAGCGAAGAGGTTGAAGCTTGGGACATGGTACTTGGATGCCAACTCCGCCAGTAGGCATCTGGACCTTCCTGCGGCCTATCAGGTCCTATGCCGTTTCGTGAGTAAAGGACAAGACAAGGTAAAACCGAACTTAGAAATTGTATGTGAAGACGACCCATGAGAAACTGCCAGAAGATTAACCAGGATTAACAGCATCTTCTACAGCAGAGATGAAGCGCAACAGGAGCTACCATCTAGCTAGGTCAATATCCGCACAATGTGCGAAACAGCTAGTGGAGAAAACTCGATCAGCCTACAGTCGAAACCTACGGCTGCAACTTCAAACTGCTGATCGATAAGGTCAGTTTGACAACAGTAGCTTATGTAGGCCCACTCATTAATCCCCATTACGTGCATGTTTTCCTACGAAAACGGTGGTTATAGGGTTTTATGGGTGGGGAATTAGGACACGCAAAGGAATATACTTTAATAAATGCTAAATGCATTTTTACTTTACTGCATATAGATGTGTTGTTGATTTATATCTGTAGATTTTCCCAATCTGTATCATTGTTTAACTTACTGCGGAAAAACCCGATTATCAACCTGCAGGTTTCTTGAATTCCCCGAAAAGTTGAAATGTTAGTTAGGAAGTCGTCCACTTCAACTTACCGTTCTGGAGTTAGATTAGTATAGTCGGCGGCGTGAAGCGCCGTTCACAGCTTCAATTTACATGCGGAGCAACTTGCTCTCAGCGGCCGCGGGAAGCAACTTCGACAACATTTTTTTCACTTTACACTTCTAAAAATGCTCTTTTCTGCCTATCCTATTTTCCCACCACCGATAACTCAATAAGCACCGTTTTTACAGGACAAAATGCTGGGACCAGGGGTACATGAGTGGGCCTACATAAGCTACTTTTGCCGTCAGTTTAAACTTTAACACCTCAAGCACTCGCACGCTATCGCCAACAAAATGATTGGATCTCAGATGAGGAGGTCGTTTTAATAAAAATTAACAGAAACCTTAACACTAATACATTTTCCGATTAATAATTCATTAGAGTGAGCAGAAGATGAATTATTATTTACGTCTCCGAATTCTGACATTTTAAAATTTGAGCAGTTATATTTATTGGGAAAGTTACAACTTGGACTTGTTTCTAAAGACCCATTCTGCATTATTTCGCACAACCGTTTATGATAGACTTATCGTAGACCACTCACCCTATTTGAACTGGCAGGAAATAAGTAATTTAAAAAGGCTTTTAAATTTTCTCATCAACATTACTGTTGGTCCATTATCCCATAAAAACTGGCTCGTCGGAGGCAATCGATCTTGTGATGTGAATTGTTCTGACTATTGATTTGACACAGCCTGGGGCGTGCTACGCACAAAACAACGTCTTGTTAAATTTTATACACGGCATCTAAGTCAATATGCTGATGGATCCACGTGCCACATGAGTCCATGGTATGGAGAAATGGATATTTTGCTTTCGTGGCAAAATCCGAAGATGTGAGCTATGTTACTATTTTGTAAACTAGCCAGCC